GGAGCGTGCCTTGGGGACGAGGGGCGGAGGACCAGCCCCCTGAGTGCGGGTGCAGAGCGCCCAGAGGCACTTCTAGAAAACAAAAACTCGTTGGGATCGAAGGGTTGGGAAAATCAATTACTGTACTGCGGGAGCAGGGATTTCATCCGTGCCATAAAAGCAAGTTAGCGTACTTTACTGGGGGAGCACCGGACCGCCCAGGCCATCTCTGAGGGCCTGCCTCGCTTCGCTCAACTTCTGGGCTGCGTGGAGGAGTAGCTCGGCTGCTCCGGTTTCAGGGTAGAGGGAGGCGTGCATTTGGGGGAAGCGTGTTTTTTTTCAGCAACTGTCACTTCCGCTCCTCACCCCCAATAATCTGCAGTAATAGCAAGCGGGCTTGATGTGATTGCGTCTACGTCCCTCCGAGGAGCTCAGGGAAACGTTCCCCTATTGCATCTTCACAACAATCCTTCCAGGTAGGTTGAACTAATAGAAGCGAATATGTGTAGCTCCAGGTTGAACTGCGGAATGCTTGGGGTTCTCTGAGCTTGGTGGTTTTCTTGCAAACGTTTGCCAGAAAACAACCAAGCTCAGAGAACCCCAAGGACTCCACAGGTTAAACTAAGAAAGAATTATATGTCCAACTTCACACAGCATGCTGATTTGTAATATGGCTTATGCAGCCTTGGCTTAGCATGTTGGGTGCACACAGCCATCAAGATTTCTAAAACATGAATCATAGAGTTGGAAGGGACCTTGGAGGTCATCTAGTCCACCCCCTGGCCAGTGCAGGAATCTTCAGACCATCCCAGACAAATGGCTGTCCAATCTTTTCTTGAAAACCTCCAGTGATGGAGCACCCAGAACTTCAGGAGGCAGATTGTTCCACTGCTTAATAGCTTCCATAGTCAGGAAATTCCTCCTCATTTTGAGTTTGGATCTCTCTGTGTTAAGGAGAGGAGAGAGCACTCCTCTCTTACCCTCAGGTGCTCTGGAGAATAAATCCACACCCTCTGCCCTATGACATTCCTTCAGCCAGTAGAAAACTGCTGTCATGTCTCCCCTTAGCCTTCTCTTCTTTAAGCTAAACATACCAAATTCCTTTAAACTTTATTTAACCTGGTGTATGATTATATGGATCCCAGCCATTGTAGTTTATGCAATAAACTATGGTTAACAAAACAGTCTGAATGTGACGTATGAATAAAACTGCGTGGTTGAGCTGGGCTTTAAACATACAGTCAGGTCCAGAAATATTGGGACATCGACACAATTCTAACATCTTTGGCT